TAATAATTTTTATAGCAACACGATACATAAAAATACGATTGCACTTTTATTCTAAATTTTATTTCAATGAAATTTTGAAACTGATTCGCAAAAGGCACCGTTTAACAAAGCAAATTTTATTTTCATGTGAGTAAAGTCTATCCAGCTTTATTAACTTTCTGCTATTCATTGCACTGTTTAACAAAGCAAATTTTATTTTTATGTGAGTAAAGTCTATCCAGCTTTAACTTTCTGCTATTCATTGCACTGTTTAACAAAGCAAATTTTATTTTTATGTGAGTAAAGTCTATCCAGCTTTAACTTTCTGCTATTCATTGCACTGTTTAACAAAGCAAATTTTATTTTTATGTGAGTAAAATCTATTCAGCTTTAACGTTCTGTTATTCATTTTGCACCGTTTAATGAACCAAATTTTATTTTCAATAAGTTAATAAAATATATTTTATTGTCAATAAATTATATATTATTGTTACTTCATTTTGTGTATCTTTATTTTAACCAGGTTGAACAAATTTCTCATCCATTGAAGATTCTATTTTCTATATTGCTCTCATTTCATTTAGACATAAAACACTTCCGTCAGAAAAATAGTAAACAGGACTAAGTCTTGAGGGATCACTTGAGTGAGGCAAACCTCGTCTCAAGTGTTGCATCATCATTTTTGAAAGTGTCGTCGGCTTCGACTGTGCCTAGCAAGACTGTGCTTAGCCAAGTTTATCTTGTCATCGAGGACCCGGGCCATTTATATCAGAAGAAGAAGAAGAAGACTTCCATCGAAGTCTTTTGAGAAGTCGAATTTAAACGCTTCAAGTTGTATAACATATCTATAAATTCCTTGGTTAAAGCAGTAATTGATTGTAAGATTTTCTTTTATCACTGTAATATCTAACAAACCATCTTCCATTAATTCCTTCCACTTAATCGGGTTAAAAATCTTTCGAACTTGGTGAATATGGTGAAAATTTTTCTCATAATTTTTATATGAATTGGAACATTTTTTAGAAATACTAAAAAAATATTCGGAAAGTTTATATCTTTTAGAATTTTTCATACATGTAAATTCTGAAATATTTTGAATATTTCTTATCCTATAACTTTAAAAAATATTTTTCTAACTTTTTTAGATTTTATAACACTATCAAAAAAGTAATTATTAACTTTAGGAGCCTCACCTCCAATGTTGACAAAATTAAGCTTATTCGATGCATTTTTACACGAAATGAATGAAATTGACGAATATGGCAAAAAAAGTGTCGCTCTGCCTCGCAAACTTAAGATATTAATTGTTAAGATTAACAGATATTCAGTTTAAAAAATCTTACATTGATGATAGTATAGAGGATTACACAAATTTTCTACTATAAAAACAAATTGTTTTAAAAACACAAAAATTCTCTACTAATCTATTTTAAAGATATTCTGCTTTAAAAACAAATTATTTTTTGTATAATTTTTGTTTTTACAAGAGAATTTGCTTTTATAAATACCTAATTAAAACAAATTTTTTTTACTATAAAAATAAAAATAATATAGAAAATAATTTGTGCTTTTAAAACAAAGATTTTGTATCTTTAAAACAGATAATTTATTTTTAAAGCACAGAATTTGTTTTTGAACCAAAAAATTTGTATGAATAAAGTAAATTGAAATAAAAAATGTTCTAGTCTTATTTACATGGTATCATGTCTTTCTATGCTATCAACATGAGAGATTTCCTAACCTGAATCTGTCAAATTTATGAACACTATCTCATGTCAGCTGTTGATCATGACGGCCATCTTACATTCCTTAATACTTCAACCTTTCCCTCTCCATGATGGCTTAGTACATAGATTTTTCGGTCAGCCATATAAAGAAGCTAGTAGTCTAGATATAGAAGTCTGTGATCTCGACGTATCAGTTTGAAGAGAGCGACTGTCAATATAGAGTCGTTTGATAACGCCTGTTTCGCATGGTCTATAGTTGCCGCATTATATTCTGCATCTAATAATGCTAGTAGAGTGTCGCAATATTCTCATTACTTAGAGGTGTTACGGTTGGAAGGTATTGAGTTCCCTGTAACCTTGAAGCAGATCACGAAATTCCAATATTTGAATGACATTTCCGTAAACGTGTTTGTCGAGCGAGAGAAAAATGGAAGGAAAAGTAATGCAGATAACGATACGATGGTCGTACCTCTTCGTGTGACAAAAGAAAAACGAAACAAACACGTGAATCTGTTGTATATTGAAAATTTGCAACATGATCACAATGGCGTTGGACATTTTGTATTGATTAAGAATCTGTCTAGACTTCTCAGTTCTTAATTGAGCAGGAATTCCAACAAGAAGTACATCTGTGAAAGGTAAGTAAGGATAAATCCGTTTTTAATAATGGAAAATGGAACTGAAATTTGAAAGTGTTATTGTTTTCTTACAGATGTTTGCATTACTTCTCATCGAGTCATAATCTGTTTCGTCATGATATCGATTGTGCAAGGATGAACGAATGTACTGTTACGTTGCCTAATGTTAATGATAAGTGGTTGTCGTTTTGTAATTACAACAGAAAGAAGCGACTTCCCTTTGTGGTTTATGCCGATTTGGAATGTATTTTGGAAAAGACAGGAATTGACGATGAGCGTATCTCAAGATTTACCTATCAACATCACAAAGTCTTCAGCATTGGATATTACGTACGTTGTCAGTTTGACGAAAGTATGTCCATGTATTCATTTTGTCGTGGAGCAAATTGCGTAGAATGGTTCGTCGACGAACTGTATCTGTTGACGCATCGCGTAAAGTCTCTTTTCGTAAGAAATACGGCTATGAATCAGTTTACGACTCAGTAATGGAAACAATTTGTAGACGCGACTTATTGTCATATTTGTGAAAAATCGTTCGAGATGGAACAAAAACGCGTACGTGATCACTGTCACATAACCGGACGTTACAGAGGTCCCGCGCACGAACATTGTAATGTAAATTATCAAGAGTCATGTGTTATTATTCCTATATTTTTTCATAATTTATCGGGTTACAATGCGCATTTTATTACAAAAGATATAGCTAACAGATATGAAGGAAATGTGTATTTGTTACCGGCAACGAAAGAGAACTACATATCGTTCACGAAATACGTGAAAGATATAGCAAGTGGATTGTGGAAAGGTACAAAAACCATGCAATTACGTTTTGTTGACTTGTATAAATTTCTCAGTTCTAGCCTTGAGAAATTGGTGTCTTATATCGACAAGAGTAAACTGAAAATTACGCGATCGGTATCCCAGTGAACAATAAGGCGTCTTTAAGACGCCTAAAAGACGTCATAAAATTCTGTAGGACGTCCGAAAAATTTACTAAAAGGCGTCTTTAAAGCGTCTTTAAGACGCCTTATGTCTGTCTTTTAGTAATCTTATTACACGTCTGTCAGACGTCATATTAGACATATTTTAGACATTTTGATGGATGTCTCTCAGACATTCCTTATAATGGTCTATAAGACGTCTTTGAGACATTCTACAATGTCATTGTTCAGACATTTTTCAGATTAATTTTGGACATTACAATTTTTCTGGATTAAATTAGGTTATATTGATAGAGTTTCGATATACACACACACACACACACCGCCAGTACTATGAAAATCTAATATTATCTAATATTATCTAATATTATCTAATATTATCTTATTCTTGTTCTGCAAAATGTCTTAAACAGATATGTCCAAAAGATATCTTAAAAAAGATGTCTTTATAGGATTTGACTAAAAGTCGTCTTTAAGATATCTTTTTGTAAAATCTTAAAGTCGTCCTGGAAAGGACGTCCAAAAGACGTCTTAAAAAGAATTGTCTTTAGGACTTGGCTAAAAGTTATCTTAAAGATGTCTTTTTGTAAACGTCTTAAAGTCGTCTTTTTTAAGACGTCTTTCGGATTGTCTGTTAGACATTCATGTTCACTGGGTATTTTTCAATCTGGATGCACAAGATTTTGATTTTCTTACGCGCAAAGGAGTATTTCCGTACGAATACGTTGACAGCTTCGATAAGCTCAACGAGACGAGTTTACCACCGCGTGAGGCGTTTTACAGTTCGTTGACCGACGAGGACGTTTCCGACAACGATTATCGACACGCGACTGATGTGTGGCAACGTTTTGGCATTAATACTCTAGGTGAATATAGTGATTTGTATCTGAAAACCGATGTACTTCTATTGGCGGATGTGTTTGAAAATTTTCGCGACACGTGCATGGAGTGTTACGGATTAGATCCGGCCTATTATTGCACTCTGCCGAGTTACGCTTGGGATGTTATGTTAAAGTATACCAATATTACATTCGAATTACTTACTGTTTTGCTATCGGGACTGCTTTCGAAATTCTACAGCACGTTCCCGAGCCTTTTTTGTGAGCTCAGGTCCAAATAAGGAAAACACACTTGAAACGTAATAATAATACTATACACTTTATTTAGAGTGCCAAATACATGTTGTATTGGATTTCTGAACGTGAAGAATACAATAACTTATTGTTTAACTTTCGTTTGAGAGATTGTGTGAATGACCGCCTGATTAATTTTATTATCGAATGCACTTTCCGTCGAACTGCAAAAGGCTTGAGAGACCTTCTAACAATTTCGCGGACCACGTTACTCGAGCGGCACGTGGGTTGGAAATCGAGAGTTGCCTTTAAACGTACATACGACCGTGCGATTCAGCGCCGCAGACACAAGTGGTTAGATTCGTCCGGAAATCGCCGAATCTCGGAATTTGCGATTTGTGAGTCACACGTGAACGCTTCGCAAACTAAATAACTACAACTGATTATCCTAGTTCGATACATCAGGTTTTCTCTGATTAGATACCCAAACATAGCCCCCGCCTTGCGACGTACAAGTCGCTAAGAAGTTTCTTGGGTATCGGTACTTATATATATAATATTAATTCTAAAGAACCTTAAATCTATCTAGCCATCCTGGAGAATCCTCACTGATTGGGAACACTGGGCGGAGAATTTAGTATTTCATGCTTGTTCAAAGTCAATTGGCAGGAGGGCCAATTTTGAAATAGGTCGTTGATACATCCTTTCGGCTGTTTTGACTGTCACAACGCGTGTGAGACCGTCATTTCCAGGATGACATTGTACTACCCTAGCTAACTTCCATTTTGTGGGTGGAAGATCATTGCTCCTTAATAAAACAATTTGTCCAAGTTTTATGTTGGACGAGCGATTTTGCCATTTGGAGCGGTGCTGACACGAGCGAACATAATCATCCACCCATTGTCGCCAAAAGGATTCAAATATTTGCTGCCATAATTGCCAGCGTGATAGTCGATTACTTGGTACGTCATACATTGTTTCTTGCGGCACCGCACTCATGGATCTGCCTATCAAAAAATGCGCTGGAGTCAGAGTATCAAGACTTTCTACATCTTCACTCAAAGGTGCTAAAGGCCGCGAATTTAGGCAAGCCTCGATTCTACACAGTAGTGTACTAAACTCTTCAAATGTAGGAGTGCTAGTAATTAAAACCCGCTTAATATGATGTTTCATGCTTTTCACTGCTGACTCCCACACTCCTCCAAAATGCGGTGCCGCTGGTGGAATAAAGGACCAGCTAATTTGATCACCTGCCAAGCGCGCATGGAAGGTAGGATCAATAATTGCAGATTGAAACGCTTCGCGCAAATCTCTGTCCGCTCCCTTAAAATTACGCCCATGATCGCTGTACATACATCTTGGCAACCCACGCCGTGAAGAAAATCGCTGTAATGCCGCAATGAATGCCTTCGTAGTATAAGCGGTCACTAATTCTAAATGTACTGCTCTCGATGCCAAGCAGACAAATATGGAAACATAAGAAAGCTGCGATCGCGCACCTCTGCCACCTGACATTTTGACATGGAATGGCCCGGCATAATCCACGCCACAATTCTCGAACGCAAACCCCGGAATCTCGACACGGACAGATGGTAAAGAACCCATAATTTGAGTGGGAGCCTCTGCTCGCATTCTAGCACAAACTACGCAATTATTTACAATAAATTTGACTATCTTTCTCGCCTGTATTACCCAGAACGTTTCTCGTAAGGTACTCAATGTGTGTGAGATACCTCCATGAAGACTACACTGATGTGGATGCATGACGATAAGTCGAGCGATATGGCTTTTCTTTAAAATAAATGGATGCTTGGCTGCCATTGGCAGTGAGCTTTGTGATAGTCTGCCTCCAACGCGCAACAGGCTATCATTATCCAAAAATGGATTGAGCCGACGTAAAAGAGGCTTCTTGATGAGAGCTTTTGGTGTGGCTTTAAGTGGCGAAATCCATCTGAGGAAGGACGATTAGATTCAAGCAGAGCGATGTCTTCAGGGAAATATGCTGCTTGATAGATCGATACCCATCTGTTTTGGGCGAATCGAATTTCTACAGCTCCTATGAGTGACCCCAACTGGTTATGCCTGAATGGATAGTGAGGTGATAGTAGTAAAATACGAACCGTGATACGCAATAGACGTAACCAATCCGAAAAACGAGATGCTACATCATTTTCATAGTCAATACTGATTGTCGACGCTAATGCTGTTGGCTGTCTCTCTGCCTCGGCCGCGTCGAAATCTCGTGGCTCATATGCAGGCCATTCAGATGACGTTTGATTTAACCAGGATGGTCCGTGCCACCACAGAGATGAAGTCAAAAGCTGCTCTGGTTTCATTCCTCTAGATGCTAAGTCTGCCGGATTTTCTGATCCAGGTATATATCGCCAATTAACTTCTGGTAATAAAGTATGCACCTCTGCCACACGATTGGCGACAAAGGTTTTCCAATGAGATGATTGGACCTTGAGCCATGCTAAAACAACTCCGGCATCAGTCCAACAGAACCTAAGGGTTTCTTTGAATTCCTGCAATGAACTTAACTTCGAGATCAGGCGAGCCAACAGAATTGCACCACATAGTTCCAACCGTGGGGTAGATAGACGCTTTATAGGTGCAACTCTAGTTTTGCTCATTAACAGAGCAGAATGGCATTCTCCGTTTTGATTAATAATACGAACATATATTACAGCTGCATACGCTTTATTTGAAGCGTCTGAGAATCCATGTAATTCTGTCTGAACCGTGGTAGATGTAGTGCCTATCCACCGAGGCAGTACAATATTATTGACAAGGAATAGAGAGTGATAGAATTCGGACCATTCACGTAATAAACGTCCTGGAAGAGGTGAGTCCCAATCAAGACAGTGGGACCATAAAGATTGCATGATAATCTTTGCGGTGATAATAATGGGTGATATCCATCCTAAAGGATCGTACAATCTCGCAATAATGGATAAAATTGAGCGCTTTGTGTATTGTTGGTCTGACAGAGGCTCACAATGCACTGTGAATTTATATTCGTCTGATGACGGACACCAAGCAATACCGAGTATTTTTAATGAATCGTCTGGCTGTAGTTTTTTGCTACAAGCGAGCCCAAAATTACTTTCAACAATATCGTCAAGTAATTCTGATGAATTACTTACCCACTTCCTCAATTCAAATTTACCTTGTTGGAGAAGACCTATCAGCTGATCACGAATGCGTTGAGTCATCTCGATAGTGTCCGAGCCAAAAAGACAGTCGTCGACAAACGTATTGTTTAACACAACTGATTTTCCATATGGATACTTGTCACCTTCGTCTTGTGCAAGTTGCTGAAGAACTCGCAACGCTAGGAAGGGAGCACTTGCAGTTCCATAGGTAACAGTAAGTAATTGAAATTCCGACATTTCCTCTGAGGTGGAAGTTCGATAGAGTATACGCTGATAGTCGATATCTGCTTCATGCACTAGTATTTGCCTGTACATTTTCTCGATATCTGCGCAATACACATATCGATGAATCCTCCAACTGGTGAGCAATAATGGTAGATCTGCTTGAAGCTTTGGCCCAGTCATCTGAAGATCGTTTAAAGAGATCTTGTTCGATGACGGTGCTGATCCATTAAATACAACTCGTAATTTTGTAGTAGAACTGGATTCTTTAATCACATGATGATGTGGTAAATAGACGATCTGCTTGCGAGGTTTAAGGGTCGATGCGAGTCGCATATGACCAAGCGATTGATACTCATGAAGAAATTTGTCGTATTCATCTCGCTCTTGCGGCCGCTGCGATAATCGCTTTTCCATCGCGAGTAAGATACGTTCTGCTCGATACCGCGTATCTCCAATATTGAGAGGAGGAGGGTTTCTGAAAGGGATGCGTACTACGTATCGTCCGTCTGAGGTCCGCGAATGGGTTTGACGGAAGTACGTTTCACATTGTACGTCTTCTTCTGACATGGGGTGAAAGGATTCTACCTCTTCAACTTCCCAGAAGCGCGAAATCAATTTACTTAAATGATCATACTGCACAGAATGAGCATGATTAGTATGAATCACTTCTATCTGAGATGATGGATTGCCAAGAGCACCGAGAATAACCCAGCCAAATATTGTATTTATAGCTACTGGTTCCCCAGTCCGTCCGCGACGTATTCCATTGCGCAGCACATAAGGATAAATATCTGCACCGATTAACGCATGAATTTTTGTATTATCGGTGGGACGTTCATCTGCATAGTCTAAATTGCGAAGATGTTCCCAATCTGCTATTGGACGATGAAACCGAGGTGTATAAGACGTTAAACTATCAACTATTAAAGCATCCGTAGGTAATCTCGGCTCTGTTTGTCTGACAGGCGATATTGTAACAGGCATGATACGTTCGATACGCTTAGAAGATGTTCCGCCAACTACACTGATGGAAGCTGATATTGGGAACGTCTTTGCACCTAACGCATTTGCGAGTTCTTTTGTTATGAATGTATGCGTCGATCCAGAGTCTAGAAGTGCTCTGATTTTGAAAATTCGATCTTTAGCGGAAGTGACAAGCACCCACGCTGTTGATAATACTACTTGACTATATTTTGATTCAATTGAGAAATGTGAATTTACGAACGTTTCATCAACTGTTGAATCTCTGGAATCTCGAGACGTACTCGGAATATCACCATTAGATTGGGAGCTTGTCACTTCTTTCGGATTTTCCTTCGATTCCGAGATTCTATGGAGAAGAGTATGATGACGCTTCCCGCATGTGTAGCACAAATGTTTGCTAGAGCACGCTTTTCCTACGTGCGTTGTAGTTAAACAATTTAAACATACTTTATTTTTTCACGCATATTTGTTGCGTTCATCAATTGATTTTGATATAAATAATTTACATTTATGCAGGTAGTGCGTTTCCGTGCATAGGGAGCACTGAGGTGGGGAGGCTTCTGCGAAATGTGTTTGAACTTTTGAACTCTGCATTTTCATTCGTAACAGCTCGGTCAGGATGGGAACCCGCAGCTTCGAAAGCACGAAGACGTTTATTCATAAAGTCTATTAATGATTGGAAATTCTTATAATATTCCGTTTTATGCGCGTGGAGTTCCCACGCTTCCCGTGTTGTTCGATCAACCTTTTGAAGTGTCATAAATATTAATATATCGTCGAATAATTGTTCATACGGACGCCCGATATTTTTAATCGCATCGACCGATTCTGTTATTTGATCTACAACTCGACGTAATAAAATAGTTGAACAATTATTCATGGATTTGACAGAAAATAGTTGATTTATATGCGCGTTTAGAATCGAGCGTTCGTTCGCATATCGACTTTGAAGTCTGTTCCAAGCTAGTGTAAAATTAGCTGCAGTAATTGTAATATTTTTCAAAAGTTGCGAAGCCTCACCATCCAAACATGACTTTAAATAATGAAACCTTTGAAGATCGTCATAACCATCATTTTGAAAGAGTGAATTAAAGTAGTCGGAAAATGAGGGCCATTCTTTATACGCACCAGAAAATCTCGGTAACACTACATGCTGTACCTTAACTCTATTAGCAGCCGGAGACCGAGCTTCTGGAATAACGCCGACTCCGCCTAGTGGTTGTTGACTGGCATTTGGAATTATTTGGATCGGAGGGCCGAACAATTTCAACTTTGCCTCTGCAACCGCATCAAGATATAACAGCTCCATTGAATCATAAACTGCGTCTTGTAGATACTGGCTGGTGGATCTAGTGTCCAGTTGCCGAATCTCCACATGAAGCTTAATGCAGCATTTCCAGTTTCTGTCCAAATAATCCAGACGTGACTGGAGTTTTGGCCTTTCGTCAAGATCTACCATTGACAAAATTACTCGATTAAGAGATGCAAATCTTGTCTCCTGTTCGATGATACGATTCTCTAGTTCCGTTTCGACGTGTGATGTAAACTAGTAAAGGCGTCTTTAGTTCGTTCTGATGCGAATGTTATTGTCTGTTTGCGTCTGCACGCAGATATTTCACAGGGAAAATGAGCCGGTTTATCGTCGTAAACTACAGACGTATTTCTTGCTATCGAAATTGATACGTATAATCACTTGCGGCAGCGCGTCGATGTAAACACTCGCGTTGTCGTTTTGATTCTAATTTCCACTCTCTTCACGAATTGTGATGGGTGGGTCTCGGCAACACACGTGACGATTTGATTGGATCACTGGTGCTGCGGCACACTGCTGCCGATCCCCTCTCGTCGCGGCATTCCTCACGAAAGCAAGAGTTTAATAGAGACAATGGAACTTTCGAACTCCAAAATTTCACGAATAGTCCAAGGTCCACTATATTGTGTGTGTCGAAAATGCGATCAATTCGCCGTGTGCAACTTTAATCGCACCACTTTTGATTTTAAATTTCTCCTTTAAATGTATCCTGGCAGGATCGCCATATGTTTTGCTATCGGGACTGCTTTCGAAATTCTACAGCACGTTCCCGAGCCTTTTTTGTGAGCTCAGGTCCAAATAAGGAAAACACACTTGAAACGTAATAATAATACTATACACTTTATTTAGAGTGCCAAATACATGTTGTATTGGATTTCTGAACGTGAAGAATACAATAACTTATTGTTTAAACTTTCGTTTGAGAGATTGTGTGAATGACCGCCTGATTAATTTTATTATCGAATGCACTTTCCGTCGAACTGCAAAAGGCTTGAGAGACCTTCTAACAATTTCGCGGACCACGTTACTCGAGCGGCACGTGGGTTGGAAATCGAGAGTTTCCTTTAAACGTACATACGACCGTGCGATTCAGCGCCGCAGACACAAGTGGTTAGATTCGTCCGGAAATCGCCGAATCTCGGAATTTGCGATTTGTGAGTCACACGTGAACGCTTCGCAAACTAAATAACTACAACTGATTATCCTAGTTCGATACATCAGGTTTTCTCTGATTAGATACCCAAACACTTACCGATATCGATATAGTGTTATTTGTAGAGCGCGGCATACGCGGTAGTTTAAGCCAATGTTCGAATAGATATGCGCATGCTAATAATGCGTACCTATCGTCATATGACCCTTCGCAACCCTCTACATATCTTATATACTGCGATATTAATAATCTATACGGTTGGGCGATGATGGAACCATTACCATTCAGAAAATTTTAATGGATCCATAATGTCGACAGTTTTAACGTAATGTCGGTACCGATAGAATCTGACATCGGTTATATTTTAGAGATCGATCTTGCATATCCGAACTTGTTGCACGACTCTCATGTTGATCTACCGTTCTGTCCTACGAAGGAAATACCTATTGGAGGAAAACGTTACGAAAAACTTCTAGCTACGCTGCACGCTAAGGAGCGTTATGTCATTCACTATTGCAATTTACAGCAATGCATTCGACATGGTTTGGTCGTGACGAAAATTCATCGGATATTAAAATTTGCGCAATCTAGATGGCTTCGAGGATATATAGAGTTAAATACGCGATTTAGAATGCTCTCGAATAACGATTTCGAACGGAATCTTTACAAATTGATGAACAATGCTGTATTCGGAAAAACAATGGAAAATGTGCGCGATTATAAAGACGTACGACTTATAACATACTGGAACGGAAGATACGGTTTAGAAGCGATGCTAGTGAAACCGAATTTTTGCAGTAGGAGTATCTTTTCTGAAAATCTGGTAGCCGTTGAATTACGTAAACTCGAGGTAATGTTGAATAAACCGATATACGTTGGTATGTGTATTCTCGTCCAAGATTCGTTTGTATGAATTTCATTACGAGTACATGTTGCCATTGTATCGCGACAATTGCATGATCATGTACACTGACACAGACAGTTTGATATATTTGTTGACGTGCGACAACGTATACGAGGATATGAAGTGTAATATCACGAAATTCGACACGAGCGATTACCCTGAGGATAATGTATACGGTATTCCGCGTTACGATAACGTTTGACGATTATATTCAATGTTTGCTTGACGCGAACGAACAATCGAGGCGTCAATCGCGCATACAATCGTCGTTGCATGAGGTGTACACGATTTCTGAAACTAAACTTGCTCTTATTTCATACGATGATAAACGATACATCTTACCAAATTTAATCGGAACTCTACCCTGGGGACATTATAAAATACCAAATCCCTAGAACACACTACAAAATACCCTTACATTAACATGCGTTACAATACCTTTATATTAATATGCGTTATAATACCCTTATATTAACATGCGTTTCATATGTTTGAATACACTTATAAAATACCCTTTTATTAATTAACATGCGTTTTTATTTCGTGATTCTCGCATACCTTTTATTCATTAACATGCGTTTTTATTTTGTGATTCTCGCATAATATTATATCTTTATGTAAGATGCGTTAAAATTGCACGAATATTATATGCCTCTGACACACTTATAAAAATACCCATAAATTTTTATTGTGTGATTCTTACAAGTTATTATATCGTTATGTAAACAAAACTTATTGGACATATTGCAAAACAATTGCTTATGTAACGTATGTACTGTATTTTATTATTCAATAAATGCACACTTTACAAAAACGACTTATTGGATATATTATTAAAAAAAAACAATTCCTCATGTAATGTATGTGTATGTACTGTATTTTATTATTCAATAAATGCACACTTTACAAAACATCAGCTTTATTTATCCATGAATTATATGAAGTGTTCATGCCTAACCATTTCACGTATACTTCGTTGCCTCGTTTGTGTAATACTTTCTCTACAAGATAGACGTTCGGATTGGACACTCGTTGATATTCGTATATTCGTAAAAACCACCGGATATCGACTTTCCTCGATAATCTCTCAGCAGATACGTTGCAGGATTCGTACGTTGCGCTTTGGCGATGTAAAAGATCTCGGTGGACCAATTTGGTGTGTATACTTTTTCAAAAATCGTTTTGAATTTACTAATACGTACTGGTTCGCCTTTCTTGAATTTCATCGAAGGAGCAATTTTCACGTGACTGTACACCGTCGACAAGAAACGTTTTGCAACGGGAAGTGTAACGTCTATCGGGCGCATTGCAATGGTTCGATATCTACGACGATTATAATTTGACAGTAGACGCGGCAATTCGTCGATCCATTTGTACGTGCCGTTCAACGTGAATACTTTCCACATGTTATTTTTGAGAGTACGGTTGAATCGTTCCACTACCGACGCTTTCATTACCGAATACGTAGAATAGTGATTTACGTTGTATTTCTGCAAAAGTTTCTGCACGGTGGCGTTGTAGAATTCCTTTCCTTGATCCGTCTGCAGATTCGGCGGGTATCGTTTGTCCTCGCAAAATATTTTGGATAACGCCGCTGTTACGTCGCTTCCGCTCTTGGTTTTGAGTGGTAATGCCCACGCGTACTTACTCAAAGCATCGATAACAGTCAAAATGTAATTACAACCTTTATTCGATCGCGCATAAGGGCGCATCTCAACCACATCTGCTTGCCATAAATCGTCACGACCGCGCACAATAACTCGCCGTCGCTGAAAATTTCTCCGCGCGGGTGCGTGAAGCTCCTCCACGAGTCTCCGTTTCTCGACACTCATCTCCTGCCGTTATGACATTACGCAAGCTTCATGCGTGTTTTTTAAATTACACTTACTTTTTAATTACAGTTACTGCATTTTCCACGTTAATCACTTTTTAATTTTATCGCGCTTTCCAGACTTCGACATATCATTATCAATTTATGATAAATCCGGTCTCGCGAAGCACCTCAATTATTGATAGAATTTCGTTGAGCGTTATTGCCAGCGCTACGGGAGGCATCGAGCAACTGAAGACGGTCCACTAACTCATTCGGATCGTCACAATGAACGTAATCGACTTTGTTGTCGGTTACTCTTATAGTCGTAGGCACACCTGCACCCAAACTCATAGTTCTGTGCGCAGATACGAGTGGACCGATAATGTGCTTATATTTGTATCCTTTGTTACTTTTGACAGGCATTTCAGCATTATGGCGACGTCTGTGAGCATTAGTTGTCAACAGTATACTCTTGTATGTTTGCTTATCGTTCTCGGTGTAAATGTCGTCATCGGGAAGTCTCTTGAAAATTAACTCGTACAAACCTCGTGTACCTTTATATCTGTTTCCATCGATTATCATGCTATCGTCTGTTTCAACATTGAATTTTTTATCACCCAACATTGTACCCTTCTCATCGAAATAAACACCGTATACGTGATCGATTTCATTTCTCTTGTCGCCACTCAGAAGAGCATTGATGTATATGTGTCCTAATGGTCCTAGTTGACTATTTAATCTATCGCGACCTTGAGGTGTCCTTAAAACTTCTCTGACAGACGTTTCGAGAGATGGATCAGCATCGTTGGAGGTTTCGAAAACGTCCTCATCCTGTATCGAGGGAACATGAAGTTGCGAATCTATCGACTGTGACATAACGTTCGACGACTGTCCTTTTAACGGAGATCGATTTTGTTTACTTTTTCTGGAAATTGCATCATCAACATCATTATCGTCGTCATTGTCGTTGTCACTGTGCCTACGTTTACCTTTCGACGTTTTTTCACTTTTCACGATATCCGTAATTTTCGACGAATTATCTCGCTCGGTGATATCAACAATTTGTCTCAACGATTCTACGATCGGTTTGAATCTTTTCTCCAGAGCAATTTCGCTCTCCATTATGCCTGTTTTCAACGCTCTATGTTTCTTACGAATCGACGCACGTGTTTTCGCGATCAATTTTGCGGTTCTTTCGCGTTCGGTGATGTTCTTCGTTTCGTCCATACCGTCGCGATGTCACAATAAACACTGTACAACTTACAGAATCGCGAAAT